AGCCAGCCAACTAATGACTTGTAAATTGCAAGTTGCATCGCATCCCACCAAATTCCAGTGCACATGGATGGAATGGACTTATGCTATGAAGATAAATTTAGTTCAGTTTGCCAAACGGTACAACTTATTATACTGCAAGTACGACTGAATAGATATGCGAATGTCCCAATGTATAAGATGCATGATGATGAAAGGACGAGGTAGGAAAAGCGTTGTGAGTATATGTGTGCATATATATGCTGTATATATGTATGCATAGCATCGCGATGACCATATATACATATGCAGATGAAGAAAATTTCTACTGTTAAGATGAGTGCATCATTTATTTGCATTAAAAAAATTGGATTTGTCTCCATTCGAAGTTTTATGGGCGGAGTAAAGATGATGTTCAGCTTATTAGGATTTCAAGCTGCTGATTAGCAGTACATCAATTATTATAAAATTAGGTGCTCGTATACAAATATATCACGAAAATATGGGTAACCTTAAGTTGGTCAGTCCAAGCCATATACATAGATGCATAAGTAGTGTGTTTGTCTGACAGAATATGTACAAATGTCTACTCTACATTTGCATTTACTTGTGTTATCACTACTCAAAGACTGTCCATATTGCACAATTGCAGTCAGATAACAATAATCGCAATCTATCCGACATGTACGGAATATGTACATATAGTTTGTCAATAGTGCAGTATTACTTTCCCACTTGTGAGTTTCCCTGAAATCATGCATGCCAATGGAGCAAAGCTATCCAGTGATTTTGCAAATCCTGAACAAAAGGGATTGTCCATTATTAAGGAACTGACTAAAGAGGGTGATGATACATGCAGCAGACAACAAGAAGTGTTTAGGAAACTTGTTATATAAATATGTATACTGCATTATACTCGTTGATTTTGTTTGGTGGATATAAACACAAGTCAGTCGAGCAAAGAAATAATAAATTGTGCAGCAGCAGCAGTAGGAAAAGACCTTGAGGTTGAGCCAAAGCTAATTCCTTCCAATGCATGTGAAGTCGTGGTAATAGAATTGTAGCAAAGCAGTGCATTATCTGTTCACCAAACATAACATAAAACGTAACCCAACGCCAACCAACTCGGAGGAGATACTACCAACCACAGCATCCATCCCAATCCATGTCCAACAACCAATTCATTCGCATTACTCACAACCATAAATATGCCTGCAGATTCCTCATTTGCATCACACCAGCAAGTGAGAATTTATCAGTCGACGTTTCTGATTCCTTAACGTCGTCATGTAAACCGCTCTCGGATACTTTAATTTTTAGTAATGAAAATTACAGGTTCTATTAAATCCAGTGGTCTAATGAGGACCTGCCTTGTGGAGCAGTTAGATTATGTAAAGCATTTTAACTATCTATGAATCATGGAATTATATCAGATATGCAGACTTGTCTGGAGGAGCTGGCTGGTTGCAAGTGAGTGCAGTCATCCGAAATTGCAATTAGTTGATCAAGGCCGACCAGGTATAAAATTAGTTGAGACACACGGAGCCCACGTCAAGTCCAAGATTGGGTCATGTTATTCTTAATAATGTTTTATTATGCAGGCATCACCTAAGCGAAAGCCAAATATCTTAGGCATTATCATCAACAACTGGATTCGCTCAATTCTTCCTTGTTTATGTTGGCCATGCAGTTCAGCTACAAATGTAAAACTGCACTTCCCACATATGCAGCTGCACATTGCAGAAATAATGCAGTCGTTTTTGTGGATAAATGTCTTTAGCCAGTTTTACCCAATTTATAAGTTGGACGACCAGAGATGTGTTAAATTTGCACGATTAGTGGCATTACTTCATACACAAATACATATGTATGTACATCCATTACAAATAATTTACTCTGCCAGTTTCTAATGCACAAGCTATAACTAAATGTTTTATTAATTATATGAATATTTAATTATGCTGATTGCTATCCATTTCTGCTACACTTATTGCAAACTTTGAAAACATTAGCAGACAAGCTAGTGTGCTAAATATTAGCAATTTAAATTAATCAAATAAACTGAAAAGATCAGTCTTACATGGACTACGTGATATTCGTCGAAATCAAAGCCAGCGACAAGAGAAATTGTACTGATATGACCACAGAAAAATAAAGCACCGTTTGGTGACCTTCATAATTGAGATGGTACAGATTTGATGAAAGCATACTTTCAATACAATTTCTAGTTGAAACTATACGTATGCATATATTTAAATATGTCAAGTAATTTGCTTTCTCTTAATGGTCATCCGATGTCAGAGATTTAAATCAATTAGGGTGGAAGGCAACTCAGATAAAGGAGAAACATGCCCTTTTGTCGCACTTTTTTGTTTAAAACTTGCTTATTAAACTGTTAGCTATGTAATGACACCTGCAAATATGCACGTAGGCTCCTCTCTGATCTCGTTTCAAGTCCAACAACTTGGTAACTGGTCCTGGGTAGTTGTCACGTTGTCATTTTCATATTTCAGATGACTTATTTAGCCAACTATCAGCTCTGGTTACGGTCGTATTCCTTATGAAAAATGATGACCCTGAGTTTGAGCAGCCACTTTACTTCCCTACGAGAGAATGCGAGATATGACCACTCCCACTCACGGTCAGGATTTTATAAAAATTTAATCCTACCCTAGCAAACGCTCCAATGCGAGGCAAGTAAAACAGAATCTTTACATATCCGTATATGACGATAAATAAAAGTCAAATATGATTTTTACGAATATTAATAAACTTCGCTTATTCATATATAAGAAATATCAACAATATTCGCCAGGTCACAAAATTATGCTATAGAGTGTCATGTACTCCATAATGAATAATAGTCCAAGAAAACAAATATCTTGCATACACACAAGTAAGTACATATATATATATGTATAGGCTGCATTTTTATTACGCTCGATAGCAATTATTTTGAATAGGACCGATAAATGCAGTTTGAATTACATTCTCACATCTCTCAAATTCAAGTCACAATTAGCATGCAGAAAGTGCATGGACTGTTGTACTTCATGACGACAAAGACGCCAACAAGCACGACTGCATACTGTCGTCTGATAAAAATTCGAGTCATTGCATCCAATTTCAAACATGTATATATTTATCTTGGAAATGTGCATCAAGAGCCAGACAAATGTCAAGTTGTAGTGCAGCAGCAAAGTTTCGAGTGCAACGAATATGATAAATTTGTTCTAGTTTCACCTTACAAGCAACTCGAGAAACTGACCATCGCCCTAAACTTCAAATCTAGAGCTTGTTCATTGCCTCCTTAGATTATTACCATTCTATTCGATATGCGATGCATATGCACCTCGTGTCATCTGGTCTGTCTCGTCCTCCTGATTAATTTTTATTTTATTATACATTAATGCACCACAAACAAAGATTATTGAATATTAACCAACCAGAACGAAGCAGCACAGGAGCATCTGCTATATTGGACCTTACTTATTTACCATCGTCCGTAAGGCAAAACCGGCTCGTCTCTTGATGACTGAATGCTACTTACTCCGCAGTCAGGGACGACCAAGTTGGTTTAATAAATGAACCAAATTGGTATCAAAAAATTGAATCTTCTCAGCTCCACCACGTTTCATCTGAGTTCTGAAGGTCTGGCCTGGCTTCTTCGTATTCACAGATAAGCTTGGCTGCATAACGAATCGAACTGTCTCCTCTGTCCAGTGGGCCATAATAATGTACATACAAACGCATACGATGCAATACACCCTAGCCAAACCCGTCTTCAAGTGGACTACAAAAAAATACGACTGCAAGCGAGTTGCTTTATTCCTATAGTTCTACTTTTAATATATTTCCATAATCTCCCTTCGTTTTTATTGTTTAGAAAATCATAAGATATCAATTTCATTCAAAGAAATTGTCCAAATATTCTGCTTCTGTAATTACTGAGCTGTTAAAATGTTGGTAGTTGCCAATAAATCAATGTCCATTTTGTTCCTTTTCCTACTTTTTACGTTTTTGTAGCAATAAAAAAGGAATACAAAGGTGAATTATGTGCGTTTTTTGACGCCCCCCACACACTCACTCACTCAATGTAGAGACCACTTTTTCATACATTTGTATTTGTTAGTTTTCCGTATTAAAGTGTGGCAGACAAAGTTTGTTGTTGGGATTAGAGACGTACGTGGAGAGAAAAGAGAAGGCTCAGGCCCAAGAAGAAAGGTAAATGTGTGCACAGTCAATACAAATCTTGTTAAGACCTCTCACTCTGTTTGAACGTTAATCTTTACTTCTCTGGACTACTTAACTGCAGAGGATCGAGTTTTTTGTCTCGATTTTGATTCAAGATCATGCATGATATCAAGTGCATCCTTGCACTTACTTAACATAATGTGCTCTCCAGCCTGTGGGAGGCCTTGAATAATACCAAGACAAAAAGTGATCTGAATGATTTTAATTCCTAGCTAATAGCCACTTGGGCTGAAAAGTACACAATACTTAAGAGCCAACCTAGATGTGAGCTGGGATAAGAACAGTGGGAGTAGAATAACTCAAAGTTCTTGGAGAAGCAGATGGTTGAATTTGGATACAGCTTAAGAATATTTGTTACTATTATTATCATTATTATTAAAATGCATGTTTATCAATGTGAGGCACAAAGCATGCAGACAAACTGTACCTTTAATCATGGATTATTAATTCATGGTTTACACGCGTAATCTCAAATCGGAAACAAGACGAATAATGAACCTCTTGAGATGAATGCTTTTTTCTAAATTGATTTCAGTTTTAAACCACGCATATGAAATAAGTAAATACATACATATGTTTACTAGGCGAGTTACTGCTTTACTAAATGGTGGGATTTACAACTAATTTCTACAACTAAATTTTGCAACCTAAGTATGCTTGTACTACATAGGTTTTAGAATTACTAATTAGTGTTAATCAAGAGTCAAGCCAATTACGAACAATTACAGACAATGAATAGGACAGAATAGAAAGACGATAGATTGACTGACCATGCAGCTGATACGTTGCAACGTTGTCCAGCATTCTTGGAGTGTCCGTTCGTTAAGATGAAATGCATTCCTTGTTGATTGCTGCTTGCGAAAAAGAGATTGAGGAGAAAAGAGTATTAGTTGAGTTAACCTTCAATTTGCACAAAGATAGCATGGAAACAAGTCAGAGGTAATAAGCTTAATTGCACAGAAATAATGAAGTGTGTACCTTTACAGCAAAAGATTAGGTTTGGACGTAGCTAGTCCCAATTAAAAAAATAAATAAGACCAAACACAACAAGTAGCAGTAGCGGTAATTAAAAGTTGTGTGTATACGTAGGTATGTGTACAATATACAACAAGTAGTTACAAGGCACTTTGTGTAAATAGGTTTAATTATTTGTTGCGTTTATTAAGGTATGTCTAGCGTTATTTAGATATTATTGTGTAGCAAGTTTGATTGTTGTCGGGTTTCCACGAGATTATTATATTGCTTGCTGATAGGAACTGGGAAATGGAGGACTTTATTGAGACATTTTTAAAATTTAACGGGATAAAATCCTAATTGCTATGAATTCGAGTTTCACATTGTAAAGCCGGTGGATTATTACTGTGTATCCTATAATGAGTCGTCTCTATTGACACCTTTATCAATCTCTGTCACGATATTTGAAATATATGATGGCATGTTGATTATCACAATGAAATGATTGAATTTGACACGGAAGATGTGTAGATTAAATCTTGTATTTTAAATTTGGAGACGAATGTTGTCATTCCTTTTCGGGGGGAATCGGTAAGACGAGAGTTTGTGGAGGAACGAGTTGTCCTCAAACGACGACTAAATGCCGGTTCCACTTTCCTCAAAGAAAACCCGGGTTTCGTGGAGAAAGTCAGACTTTCTCCGCTGCATACCGCTCGCTCCTCCAGATCTTCTCTCAGACTCCGTCCACTTTCTCTCTTCCTCAGCTCACTCCAAAGTCCGTGCTTTTGGATGGAGAGCACGGCGAGAGGAAGGATGGAGCGAGACGTAAATGCGAGAGTGAGAAGTTGAGACGACCGACTTTCTCCAAAAGTCCCATAGATTTTCCCACCTTAAAAATCACGACAAAATGTGTACAAAACGCAATGGTCAAATTGCATGTTGGCCGCCTTTCTATGTTGTTGCTATCTTTTACGATCACGTAGTAATTCACAACTTTCCCCACTACGAAACGCATTTAGTACCTAAGCGATACGCAACGGTTTCTGGTGGTGTTTTAGAGTGACCATGTACGTATTATGTGTACCAACCGAGTGGAGATATTCCGATAACGGGAAATATTGGTAGCAAAAATGAAAAGAAACCAAAACTTCCATTTACTCGAAAGTCGATAGCGACGCGTAAGTCGAAGGAAACATAGCCAACAATCTGGAATACACGATTTCGCTGGTCAACTTGTCCAGACTGGACTGTTGTGAATAAGTAAAAAGTGGGACCATTAAGATTTGTCTACCAGACGACTGTGTGTTCATGGCTCTGAATGTTTATTACTCGCGTTGAGATTGAGGTTCTTTCCCCATTCCTCCTAATAGACTTATTAGACGCAGTGGGTGGAACGTCATAAAAGCGGAAAAGAATTGGGAAACAAAATCAAGATAAGTTCGACCTACCCTTCACCACTCCAGGGTTCCGTTCCATTGCTGCGGAAGGAATGGTGGTCGTATGCACCTCGGCCGCGGGGAAAATGAGACTCTCAATCTTGATCAGCCCTGTTTTATGGTTTGTCACTCTATTTGTTTGTACTTATCTCAGTAAGCTCAACTTACCCCATGTGTGGAACATGGTTTGTAATAAAACGATATAATAAAGCTACAATAATTTCATAACTCTATTTAGAGGTCGAATTTACAATAAAATGTCTTGAATTCTCTATACTTTCACTTTATTCTATTTAATGAATTTCTGCCAAAATGACCCTAAACTTGGCTCACATTATGCACACAATATCCCACAAAATAGGGAAACCAAACTTTGAACTCTAATATATAGGGCACAGCACACAGCACTGAGGAAACTACTCCCGAACCGAATGACGATAGTTACCCAGTCGGTAGGTTCAGGTAGTTGTGGTCATAATATTGCGATAAAATTCCGACTCACTACCTACTCAGACTGCTATCATTGCTGGACCATTCATATCTTGTCCCTACGCATCTCGAATCAACAGACAGTGAGGCTCTCCGTGTGAGATTGCAATTACAGGACCCTTCCATGTCGGCATTGTTTCTATTTACGGGGAGAGGATAGGAGGAAGTGAGACCCTGTGAAAGGGAGGAGGGTCAGTCCGTCGTAATGGAACATGGACTGTTGTTTGTAGTGTGAATTGGATTTGTCATCTGGTCCACACATACACATTCATTTAAATTAAACCCTGTCCACTACTCGACGACTTTGCCATCGCCCTGTGAGAGGCTTGTTTTCCTAACTCTTTGCTCTCATAATTATAAGAAAGATCCTACTACTTAATACGTATACTGCCCGTTTATGTAGTTTTTTTGCGTATGTACATATATCGACCCTGTTCACTGCTTCTGCTGCTGCTGTCCCTTTGGGCTGAACGAGTTCTCACTCTGTCCAGTTTTTGATGGTGAATGTCAACGAATGAAATTAAAAGAGGCTCAAGTCCTCTTTTCCTGTCCCACATAGTACGTGACTTCAGTTATGTACGTCATTAGCCTCCACTCTTGTGGTGCTCATTATACCCCGAATAATAATGGTCCGACGTCTGGTGGTCATTATTTGCCACTCTTTATCTCAATTGAGAACTTATGATACCAAAAGATTGTGGGGATGTGAGAAGCATTTCTTGGACTTATTTTCCAGACAACTCCTGCAGTAATTATTGCAATTATATTCAACACCAACCCCAGTGTGGAGTCCAACTGTACGTATGGAGAGTCAGAGAGAGAGAGAGGAAATGCATCAGAATTAGTGCAACAAACCGCAGAAATCTTTAATAATAATAAAACAAAAAATATATGGAGGTAATAAATTCTCTCCTGTCTCGTAGCCTGTCTTCGGAAACGCACTTCAATTTGGGCAGTCGTTCTCTCATTTAACGATTAGTGAAGGCTGGACTTTAACGGTTAGTGAAGTGAAGTGGGGCCTCCAACAAAACAACTCGCACATTTGGATACGTATTTATGTGATGTAGATATTCTCTCGGCCATCTCAACCTGGGCAATATACTCGTGGATTAGAGAATTATTCGGAAATTCAGAGCGAGCGGATAATGGTAATAAGAAGACCGTGTGAGTTGCATGCGGTTGTTTTCTGGGGTGTCCGCGCCGTCCAGCTCATTACATATTCCGGCCGCATAGCCACATTTTTCCAAAATATTTTTATATTTTTCCACCCTTTCCCTTCATTCAGCTTCTGTTCTCCTAGTTTTATGGCATTTTTATTCGAAATCAGTCCAACTGCATGTTTTACGCACACTGTACCAATTTGTGTAAACTCGTGTTGTGTGTACGTATGTGTGTATGCATTTAATAGCCCGTGGCAGAAAATTGAATGCAGAGTAAAATTTTTGTGGTGGACACTCGAGTCAAGAAGAAGCTGACCAGGTGCAAATAACATTTTGAACATTTTGAAAAGAATTACACGGCGCAACATTCATAAGTCAACGAATAAAGCTTTGAGCAACATCACAAACACAAGAAAAATAAGCTCATAAATATTATTGAGAATAAATTAATGACCAAGATGAAGTAGCTCAACAGTTCACTTGGGGGCTTTTGTGGAAGGTGCTTATTTCAACTTCAAACTCACTTTTGGTTTTGATACGGAAGGAAAGAAAAAGTGAGCAAATCTATCAACCCCAACCTAGAATTAGAGTAAATCATTTCTGAATTTATCTGAAAGAAGTCTTGTCAAGCCCCTTCTTCGCTTGTGGCAACAACGAACGGCACAAGATGAAGAAGGACCTATTACAATGTAATCCTTATCTTCCACCCAACAAAACGGTGGTGTAGCAGAGCAGTATGTTATGTAAATATGTAGAAATGTGTGTATGTGGTGGCATCAAGGACGACCACGACCCAAGAAACTGGATCTATGCAAATGAGGTGTGATAATGCATCATCAAACTAAAAATAACTTGCAATTTAAAAAAATCAATAAAATGCGCTATAAAATTAAAAAATTTAATACAAAGCTCAACCAAATAAACACAATTTACAAATGCTTTGATACAAAAAATATATATCATACATACACAGACAATAATTTGACAATAATTTGAAGTATTAACCTGAACTGCGAGTTCGCTGACTAATTTTTCTGCCAATTTGATCTCGTTGACTTGTTGTTGACCAGCAGTAAGAGCGTTCAGGGCGGCCACCGTAGCAGCAGCTGAAGAATTGCTCGTCCCCCCGTGATGAGATGAGGAAGAAGGGATCGGAGATGACCGATGGGTTTGACCTGCCCCTCCTACATGTCCCCCAGAGTTGGATGCCCCATGACCACCGCTGACCTGTGATGACGGGCGAGGGGGTGGGGACGACGTGTTGCTGCTGTGCGTCTGTTGGGAGGAAGATGCTGCTGCTGCAACAGAAGCCAAACCTTGCTGCCATATCTCCTGGTTCATCTTGATCAGCCGCTGTGTCAACTCGGACATGACCATGTCTGACTCCATTGGACTGGCCAACTCCATCATCTTGCCCATTAAATTGGCACTATTTTGCTGCTGTTGTTGTTGGGCTGCAGCAGCAATTGCAGTTTGCAGACTACTTGCCAATGCCCGAAGCTGTTGCTGTTGAGCTGCCATGGCCATGCTGTTACTTGCCTGGTTGTTGGCAGAGGTGAACTGAGCCCCTGCAGCCGCCGAGAGTGACATTGCCATCGGGAGTGAAATTGGGATCGACATGGGATTACTATTTGAAATTGGTTTAATGTCCTTGGCATCCTTGAAGTCCTTTAATTCAGAAGGTGTTGGGGAAGGTGGGGGTGACCCCAGCATGGAATGAGATGGCGAGTCTGGTGGGGACGACATGTCATGATGATTTTGATGCTGATTATGATTTTGGGCATTTTGCAAAGCCATTGCTAGAGTTGCTAGTGCTGCGTTGGCATTTGTCGGCATGGACGATGATGGTGACGATGAAGATGTTGAAGGTGGCAGAGATAGATTTGGAGTCGCTGCTGCTGGAGTGATTGTGACACTGAGACCTGAGCCCAGCGGACCAAGTCGTTCCAATCCACCAAACCCGGTGGGAGAGTGGCGTGGACTGGTCAACGGGTTTGCAGAATTACCAGGATGATTGTTCCCGGATGATGATGAAGAAGGAGCTGCGCTGATGGTCAAGCTGCTGGTGGACATTGCTGACGAGGACGTTGAGGAGGAAGACATGCTTCCACCTGCGAGCATGTTAGCATTCCCTCCAGCTGCAGCGAAAGCAGCAAATAAAGGATGCATTTGAGCCGAGGTCATAACTGGCCTCCTAAATAATTGGATTATCAGTTTTGAGACAAATCCCATGAGAGGTTGGTCAATTATTGCATGAGACAAAGAGAAATGGTAGCGGTAAGACTCAACTTAAAAAAGTGTAAACATATTCTCTGGTGAAAGGAGTTAAATTTAATTTTTTTTAATTTAAAATTTTCTCATAAATAACAAACAAGTTTAACGTTAAGAAATCTATATTTCTAGTTGTGACAAAGTTCAAATTTAAGATGGAGGCACAATACGACCCAGTTTTACAGATTTGTAAACTTTGCAAATCCTCTTTTCTCCAAAGACACTTTGCTGACCATTTTAACAGTTGCCACGATGAGGGAAATTTATTTCTTTGTGAGTCCGACGGTTGTTCAATGAGGTACAAAACAATCCTCGCTTTAAGGAGACACAAAACCATAAGTCATAATGGTCCGGAGGCAAAATCTGTATTGGAAGACGGGCAGAGAATGATATGGGCAGAGGAGGTCAAAATGGTCCACAACAATAAGCCCGTCGGTATTTACGTGGGGGTGACAAATTATTATCACCCTCATGTCGCTGCAGCAGACAGAGATCGTGATGGGAAGAAGTGCATTGTAAGGTAAGTATACATTTTATTTTAGCTCTATATGTAATGGTGAAAACTGCATTTTTAGTTAAGTGAATAATGTTGACATGCTCTCTATACAATTTAGCAAACATTTTTTGTCGGAAGGATTGTGCTATTGCGACCACGATACGGCCCGGGAGCTGCTAACTGTAGCCGTGCTACCGCGTGATAACGAGAACAAAGTTGCATTTGAGAAAAGAACTTTGGAAGTCACTACAGCGTATAAAATGTACACTCGTCAGCATTTTGTAAAATGTATTTGTTCTGTAAGTATATGTTTTAAATATTTATCTGTGGTAATTTTAATTAATAATCACAAATCTACTATTATTTCTCTACAGAATTTCACCTCTACATACGAACTCTCAGAAAAGAAGGAGAAGACGATTCGCAGAGCGCTTAGAGACTCAGAATTTTCAAAGTATTATACTGACGATATACAGCAACCATTTACCTATCATGTTTGGAAAAACTCGAGTAAGCTCCATGACTAGGTTAGAATGTAGTCCTTAAAATTTATCCTGTTTTCAGAGGATGGACAAGAGGCTGTCGCCGCAAAACGGGTAAAGGAGGGCAAGCCCCATTTAATCCCTCTTCAAAAGAGGTTGGCGTCCTCGGTGACCAGTGCTGGCGAACCCCAACACAAAATGAAACGTGACACGGAGGAGGTTGAAGGGGAAGAAAACCTCATAAAATTAATTAATGCTTACGGTCGATCTGCTGTGAGAGACATGTGTGATAAACTTAGTCAGGTAAAATCGGTTAATTTTTTTTCAACTTAAATAACAAATCAAATAGTTATTATTTGTTAAACAGGAGGAGAAGAAGTCAATTGACGAAAAGAGAATTGCTCTCGGTGATTTGAAGATCGACACTGTTCATGCAAATAAGATGTGATGTCATAATTAGATAGATATTTTTTTGATGAATTTTTTACACTACTACTATTTCTCTTTGTTACTCATATTATTAATATGAAATGCTAATACATTAGATTACCTCGAAGTCACTTTTTGCCTCAGTTTGAATTTGTCACTCGACCTGCTAACAGGTCACTTACTGTTCACACAAAAAATAGGAAATGCAACAGAAGTTTCCTTTCTGTTTTTTTATTTATTTAACAAGTCTCTTACTTCCACTTAGTTCTTACATGTGCACCAATTGGCTCACTCGTGCATGCTTCTCTCTGACTGACGATTTTAATGAGATTTATTTATATTCCTTGCCTCTCTCACCTTCTTGACTAATCCAATTTATTCAAGTATATTAAAAATTATAAATAGTCACACCACGAAAATTTAATCCGCTCTTACTGACTTTTCCTTTCCTACAACACTCCCAGTCCAACATTTGATTTCATGACGGATGACAGGTAGAACAGCCCTTCTGACACTTTTTAATCAGTTGAGATGATGAATGTGTATTTGGCCTGCTTACACGTTTTAAATTTGTGACAAGTCCACTTTTTTTGCTTTGCTTACTGGAGCAGTTGTGGGAGATAGTGAAAATCGGGGTCTGTGTTGAGAGGGGCAGATTGAGATGAAAGAGTTTCCTTGGTTGTTTAAGAGAGAGAGAGAAAGTGGTTGGTGTGGGAGGCCTGAGAAGTGAGACGGTAATGACGGGAAAGTGAGAGCGACGGTCTAAAGTATCCGAGAAAGAAGTGACGGAGAGAGTGAAAGAGAAGCAGCAGCAGGAGAGTAAAAACACAGCCAGGAAAAGTCCTATGCTCCTCCAACTACCACTGCCACCAACAAGCAAGGCAGCTCATAATAATACCAACTGACTTGGCTTTTTCCCGGATCTATAGGATCCAGCAGCAATTCAACTAGGCAGCTGTAGTTGTATCTCAGAAAAAGGGTGAAAGTTTGGGTGTTCTGCCATAAAACTGAGTGAGTTGGGGCGCCGGCGTTTTCCCCATTCTTATTCTCCTCCTTCCAACAGTTTTTACCACCCCGATCTAAGCAGATAGTTGAATACCCGGGTATTTTCTCTCTCTCACTCTCTCTCGTTGACCCTGGAGCCAGAGATACCCGTCCGTCCATCCATTCTCATTCCCAACCTGACCATCTACTGTCTCATTTTTACCATCCATTGACCAGACAGACCACTGCTCACTCCATTATTTACTCTGCCAGGCCAAAAACTCTGACTCACCACCACAATACTGACCACATATGCGTAAAGTATCACATTCAGGAGGAGGATGATATATGTATCTCTTCATAATGCTGCAGAGAGAGAGCTGGATGAGCTCTCATTAATCAGCTTCAGAGCAAAGTGCCGAGTTTGAAACTCAGAGATCCAACAGAATTAACTCTTCATCTCAAACAACAAATTTCATTCGGCTCGACCCTCGTGGATGGACAGTGGTAAAATTGGGAACATCCAAAAGATGGAAAAATTGATGTCTGTGTGCATGGAACAGCAGATGATGATTGCCAGTTGATGAATGCAGCGGAAGTTGTTTTAGAAGTTTTGGCAGGCGGCAAATGAGTGTGTCTACGACGACTATTCCTCCAAGAGTGAGTGAAACAGACATAAAATATAAAAGTCAGTCCGGAGCAGCAGCAGTCCTCTTGCCCGTGAATAAAAAGTGGTCAATTTGAGAACAATCACGTGGAGTTGATTTCTTCCCTAACTGGGAATACATACGTACATAAGTGCGTACATACAATAGGCATAGGCGCATTTATGTATGATTACATGTTCACAAAATGCTGGCAGTATTTCCCGTAAATGAAGATCTAATAATAAAAGTTTTGTTTGATTAAAATAAGTTAAACCAGTCACGTCTCAATCACACAATTCTGTATCATTATTATTCAATATGCACAACTTTAATAACGGAAAACGGTCATTTACCATCCAAAGTGGTTTTAGCTTATAATCCGTTTTTGTCTGGACATGGGATTAGTTTGAGACGAAAATGCAAGTTTTTATGTAAATAGTAGACTACGTAAATTGAGAATTGTGGCGTTCTTTTCACCACAATATAAATATCATTCCTTTCATATCCACGTATTAAAATTTCCAACAATATTAACACCACCATTTTAATAACACCTTTCACTTTGATATTAAGAAAAAAATCGAGTACTTACATTGCATACGTGATCTCGTCGCTGCCCCCGATCAGCAACAATGTCAAACTTTTTGATTGAGACGAGTTTTTTGTGATCACAATTTTTCACCAAGTAATAATAATAATCCTTTGACTGACACTAGTTGATAATACAATCAGTGTACGTAAATTCGTAGTTCAGGTACACTCGCTCGCACGTGTTGAAGTGGAATAATTTTTGCGATTTTTATCACATCCAATAAAGGAACGTGTATCAGGATGAGGAGGGTTAATTTTTTTTTCGTTTCGTAAAAATATTGCTAAAAAGTTCTCAAACACAAATTCCTACTATTGCACAGGTCCCAGTGTCCAAGGGATTTGTCAAAAAATGTGATCCTGCAACTGGGGGATATCCGGTATATCGGAAGAAGGGAACCAAGGAAGGGAGTAGCCCCTTCTTGTCGCTCTATTGTCTCGGGGTAAAAATGGTCAGTGGTGGACGGCCTAATTTGCATTCGAAAAAATGCTCAATTCATCCAAGACGTGTTATGTGTAGCACAGGCTAATAATGAATTGGGAACAATGAAAGTCTTGGTCATTGAATGAGCTCTATCTTTAGAACCGGTTCTCATAATGCGTACAAACGGTGTGATAAAAATTATACACTGGTCCTCGGTGTGTGTGGACCAGGAAAAAATCTCCTCCGATTCCGTCACTATCCCGCAATACTGGTCCAAATATCTAATGAATACAGTAATAATAATAGCGTTGTAATATTTGTGTCTGCCTACCCAGGAGAGACTGCCTTTGCCTGTACTGGGCGCACATGTATGTACAGGAATCTAGCAAACGGCAGCAAAACCAGAGCAAAGTTTCCTCCCTTTGGATTTTTTTACCGTGTAGAAATCTCTTAGCTCTCACGTAACCTCTGCTATTTCTGATACTCAACCCCCTATCCCGACTGACTTGTTACACCGTCCACCGTATTACGTACGCACAGATCTGAGGTATCACCACGTAAAGGAATAAAATAATCCACGCCAAGTGGGGATGGACCAATGCGAATAATCTTAACCCTTTGGTCTCATACTATCAACAGCACTGCTCCGCTTGAGCATTGCATTGCCTGGATGGGATTAGATTGATGAGCACTGAGTGAGCAGCACTATAATTACTCTTTTTCATTCCTATGCACCCGTGTATACCTCTCTACATATGCCGGCTAGCTAATCTGCGTATCTGCACCGCAATCATTGACGGGGAGCTCTTAATGCCTTTGTAAACTTATCACCAAAATAAAAATGTCCCCCGTTGGACGCTTAAAAAGAATGGGCATTGTCCACTATTTTTATGATATTAATACAACCCTGAAAAAAATTTGAAAAATGAGAATGAATAGATTAAATGAAATGGACCCTCGCAGGGTGTCCAACACGAGAATCCAGGAGTTCAAAGGACGGTCGCCAAGTATTCCTCTGTGTTTCAAGAGTATGAACGATGATGGCTTAATTTTTAGACAGCTAAAATAGTAAAATTGACTTGAATGTAACATTAATAATTGTCAACCAAAAACTCTTTTTACTCCTTTCTTCTAACCATCCGAGATGCACGTTTTCAGTTTCCGATCAGTTCTGATTTGAGAAATTGAATTATACATGATTTGACATTGTGACTTGGATGCATGCATGTATGTATGAACGCATGCACATAAGGAGAACCAAAATCGCATCCAAAATACTTATCAATCATTCTTTGTCCATACGTTAATTAAATACAGGAGACCAAAAATAATCTAGTCTGGGGATCGGTGCACTTGTATGGATTCATCCCAATAGTAAAAATCAGGCGACAAAATTACACAGAACACATTTCACGATAATAACTGCAAAAATTTAACACGAGTTTCCCTGATTCAGTTGTATCTCTTGCAGCATCGAGCACCGAGCTGACCTTTGTCCTCAAATTTTGCATATCTCATTTCATATCAAGTTTTAATTTCAGTCCATTAAAATTTTGAATAATTGAAGCATTCAATCCTGGTCACAAAACCGTGGAATGGAGGCCAAAATATATATAATTCAGTATTCAAATTGCATGTGCAACTGAAAAAGCCCAATGCTCGGAAGGAGATCGCATAATAAACTTATTCATATGGACAAGGAAATCAGAACCAGATGGGCCGTGCTGGTCGATATAAAATGCATTAATTTGACTTGAGGAATATATAGTGGAGGAATGACAGTGCATTCCTTGGCCGCAAAGATTATACATATGACTGACTGCCACAAGAATGACATTAACCAAACTCACTTGTTGAGCTCTCAATTAAATCAATTTCATTTACAACAGAGAAAATTCATTAATTCCATTGCATAAAATAAATTAGTCGTCTTCTCACAAACGCAATGATCAAAAGAGACACAAAAGAATTTAACTTTTGATAAAAGCAGATTCAAATGGACAAATAATGCAATCAACAACAACATGACGATTAGTGTGATTGAGTCCAAGTAAGAACAAGAAGACTCTGCGATGGGAACGAACGAGGGAGAACAGAGATGAAGTGCTTAAATGGCATCACATTTTACATATGCAAGTGGTTTTGTTCTATAGACCTGCGTTGTTATTAGACTATCTTATTCAGAAGAATCGACTTGGAATAAAGGAAGCAAAGTCATTATACGAATCCAATGTATGTATGCCACAATGTGGGTCTAATTAAACCGGACAAAAATTTAAATTACAATTACAATCCAATCTGCGGATAGATCCATATAGAATAAACTTGAGATGACGGGGCACTTTTCCGTCAAAAATCCTTGAGCTGCCGATGAAGAAGGCAAAGGTGTGTGTATCGTCGAGGTCCTTCGGAGCTATTATTTGTTGTTGATCAATCTTCTTCTTGATTGTCACTTCTCCAGCAAAAAAATTGATTCATCAAAGAACAAGAGCAAGTCATAATCGTCGTCGTCGTTGTATGTATGTAAATAGTACAGGAGTAGTAAAATGGTTATTAGAACAACACCGCCGTACTTTGTCTTATCTTTACCAGTCATGCATTGTAAAAAGGCGTTTAAAAGTATCAAAAATTCAATGAAATGAGGGCAGGTGAGCGGAGATAAACCAAAATAAAATTAAGCTTATCAAGTTGAAAATCCATCTCCTTACCGCTACGCATACTTTTACAAAGAACGCACAATCTGATCATCAGCAGATTTTCAGAGAACTGTCAACCCAATTCTTCCTTTGATTTAATGTCTTGGTTGGTCTCATGGTAGAGTTGGAATAAAAATGAGCAAACAAAACGCTGCTTACCTGCAAAGAAAAAGGAAAAATGCAAAATAAAATATTGCAAAAACATGGCAATTTATAACGCATCAAGATCAAATACAAAATACATTTATCTCTCCTACCACTTAAGATTAGTAATTATTAAGGTTGGCCTTCTGCTAATTATCGCAATTCCAATTGATGAGATGGTAATAAGGAGTTTGCAGCAATTAAGTGATTATTCTTTGATGGGTGTGAAAAATAATGCAAATGCTGTGAATTAATTCAAACTGACAACTTTATTAGGAAACATTGACATAATTGCATCAATTTGACCACTCATCAACCGAAGGTAAAATGTAATTAATAAGCCGGGCAGAATTTCAATCGTCCTTTCAGACAACAATAAAACGAGTCTGGACGTATGATAATGAAATACTGATCTCATCATCATCATCACATTTTCGCCGTATTAAATAATTGAGGGTTCTTTTCCTTCACGAGCAATCAACAAAAGAATGTTGACCACTCTCTTTAGCATTTCATCTTCCATTCAAGTCAAAACATTGGGCGGCTAACTGGTTTGGATCATTTTATTGAGCTAATAACTCAAGGTCATGAGCAAATGGAATTGCATTTTTGGTCATCCATACATCGTCAATATGTACGTTACATGATGAGCATATTGATTGAAGGACTGATGAACTGTTGCATTTACTTATCATCATGTCATCAACTGATTGGCTTTATTCCGACGGTACGATGAAATGACGTGGTCAATTCTGCAACATGTACAAGCATCTGAACCCTCTCTTTAAATAAATAATTCATTCTAACGAGATCCATCTCATTTTGGACAACGTATTTTTCCACATATGTATTTACGTGTTGGAAAAAGAAACCACATTCTAATTAGTTGGATACATATGTATTATGTTGCAAAAGGATGTCCAGAAATAAGTGATTGAGAATCGTCAAAGGTTGATGCGATATCATTATGGAATATGCAAATGAGTGTCATATGAGGAAGAGGAAGTAGTACGTAATCGCCAGAAAGACATTTTTTGTTTTCTGTTATGCTCTCCCCCCGTCCCTATTTTTATACGACGACTACGGCAACCACGGGCAGGTATAAGTGCAGATTTCTTTTCTTTCATTTCATGTAAGACTCACTTTATAAATATTCATGAGCCGCGGAAGGAAAAGGAGAATGTTTTACTGTTTTCACCGTCATTCTCAATAGAAATATTTAAATTCCGTCACAATAATCTTCTCAGTTGAATAACTCTTTTGCTCATGTGAGCGAATCTCATTTCGTGTGAGTCTTCTTTTTATTATTATAAGTTGGAAGTAAGCAAATATCATGCAATGCATATTAAAATAAAGTAATGTGAACAAAATTAAAAATGCTGACATTCTACGTGATTTATTCCTTCTTACTTATTACTGCACATACCATACACATACGCAAGTTTAGATATGTACACATGTGTGATCGAAGCTGAACGCGGCTGTGTATCTATTTTTGAGACTCAACGGACGATGAACGACAAAGAGAAAGAGAGACGAAGAGGGGATGAGGTTTATGAAAAAATGCCCAAAAAATAAAAATCCGGAATTCATTTACATTCACATGAACACAGATCTGAGAGCCAGATGGTAAATGCGGACACTTCATCTCGCACCGGTTGTCA